TGCTTGCAAACCCATAAATATCTAGAATAATATGAGAACATTTTCAAGTGCTGTGAATTTTTCAGTACATTTTTTAGTATTTTTAGTACATTTGATAAGTCACATATGTGGGAAATGTTGAAATTATATGAAATTACAGTAAGAATAGGATCACTTCTCTAATAATCATATTGAGTTGTTTTAGCTGTTCTCACTTGTGCTAACAATAAATTGGATAAATCACTCTATGAATTTCATTTATTCAATTCAATTATTCAATTAGTTATTTTATAGCTTTTGATTTCATGGGAGCGCTAACCCATAAATATCTAGAATAATATCAGAACATTTTCAAGTGCTGTGAATTTTTCAGTACATTTTTTAGTATTTTTAGTACATTTGATAAGTCACATATGTGGGAAATGTTGAAATTATATGATTGATCTTGAAGATCAGTTTGATCTTTCTCTTGAAGATGATTACTTGGTGATCGAAACACGTGTTGAGGTGTTGGAAAAAAAGTCCAATAATATTCAATGATTCTGATGTTTATTTAGGTAATATCAATTATAGAACATACTCAAGTATTTTTGTTGACCCTTGTGAAAAAAAATTTCAAGTCATATGTAATTCAATGTCCGTCGTGGCATTAACTAGATAAGTAGTAATTTTCTGCATTATAATCGTAGTATCGTAGTTCATATGGTACAACAATAAACTATCAATTATCTTTTTGGGAGAAGTTGACTCATCAACTATGTTATGGATATCCTTCATGCCTGGGTTTAGTTCGAGGTTATGTTAAAGTTTAGAAATTAGTAGGTATGGCTCATTTCCTGATGACGTCCACTTGGAAGGTAAGTGATATGCCCATCGAAAATAATTTTACACAGTTCATTGGTGTGTGGGAGATTATTTTGTTGAAACAGATGATAGTTTTAGAATCAGAATAGAACCTGAGGAAAAATTAATTTGATTTCGAAATTTGTGTAATGTGGAATTTTCTTGATTTTATTTCCTTCTGTTTCCTAAATACCTGACTATATTCGTATTTTATCATCGTCTCACCTTGTATTTTTCAATATAGAGATGTGTATTTATGTCATTGTTTTGATTCACTCAAGTAATTACAGTATACCTACTTTTTATTGCTACTAACAGTTCAGAATATCTATGTACTCCTATAAGCTGATATCTTTTTCAAATCCACTGTTTGAACGAACAAATGGAGAAAAGTATCTAATTGACGTAATAACATCATAGGTACTCTGTAGTATTTCACTTGAGATAATAATCAATTTTAAAATGTGAGTAGTTATTAGGTGTACCTTGATGGCATACATTTGTTCATATTGTCAATCAATGAACCAACTTCTTACGACTTGCGACTGAAACTAAGTAGTACAAAATTGTACACCTTCACTTCATCTGAAATTCGACTTTACATCACCACTTAGAAAGGAAAATAGTTTGTTATATAAATGTAACAAAAGAAGTAAATTGATGGTTGCATATATTTTAATAGCAATTGTTATTTAAAATTCATATGTACACAACTGATAATATTCTACATTTAACGAATAAAAAAAGTTCAAATAGAACCAAAATACTAGTAAGCAGTAGGCATTCACTGAACGAACTGAAGGCCAATCCGTTTTAAAAATAGAAATTGGAGTTTTGCATTTCACCACATGTTTGAGAGTCTCAATGTTTCATCATAAACGAATGGTCGATAACTCTCTCAATAACACACCCCTGAAATCGACCAACCCAAGCAAGCATGACCCTCGCAAGATGTCAAATGCTTGCCAGCTCCACACAAATACAAAACATTATCAAATGACAAAACTCACCAGGGGAGTAGCTTGTACAACTCTTTTGTATCCCATTATAAGGTGGTAAAAGCGAGACCGCAAAACCTTGTAACTAATACAAAACACAATCCACTGATTCAATACACCGTGAACGAACTATTAAACGTGGAGGACTGAATTTCAAGTTGGCGGGCTAGCGCTTAGTATTCGATTTCGCCGGCTCATTCAGGAGGATTCAGAGTGGGAGGGTGTCAGTTCTCATTGGTCGTCCTTAAAGGTGTGTTTGGTGGCTGCATGTGATGCGTCACGTTTCATTATCCAAGTTCATGCAAGATATTGCAATTTTCCAGAAGTGTCTAGGACAACTGAAACGTTCTGAAAAATTAGTAAAGAGTAGAACGCAAAAAGAAAACCCCTCGAGGTTAGATTGCGCTCGTACTCTGAACAGATATGAAAATGGATATGTAACCAGTGGTAGCGGTTGCAACTACTGAAACAGGTATAACAAATTCAAAAAATCACGTATACTGTCAAATATTATCTCCATCTACATAGTTCTATATCATTTATAGTGAAGATAGTTTGTGTACAGAGTGAGCCAAATTGGACACTTTTAAAGGGAAACTCCTGTTTTCAAACTAGATACATGAAAACTGGGTGTCCAATGTTGAGAAAGCTTTTCACAACTGTTAAAAAACGCGTAGTTTCAATAACACTGATAACAATTTATATTATATTTACTACTGATGAATGAAACTTTAACAATAATAATAATGATAAAGAACAAACTAGTATACAAACAAATATATTTCTTCAGAGAAGGTGTTCGAAATGTCTACCAGCCTCTCCTACACACAAGCGTCACCTTTTTGAGCGTTTTTTGCCCCAATTTGTATCTAAAATTGGTCGGCAATTCAAAAATAAGATCTGTCAACCTTACCCAGAGGTAAAAGTACAAAGGTGTTAGGTGAGCTCCCCGGCCAACGGTTGGTTCCTTGGTTGGCTACCCAAATTTGCAGCCAAAAAATCGGTGGCAATTGCAGTGTTCTGAGGCGGAGCCCTGTCTCGTTAAAACATTTTTTTGAGCTCCATTAGTAGCAATTCATCAATAAGGGGTTCAATATTTAGTCTTAAAATGTCTAAATACATCTAAGACGTGAGAGTGCCATAATAAATGAACGGGCCGATAATTCTACCCCTTCACAATATAATGAGCACTTTGTTGTGCCCAAATTAAAAAATTGTAGCGGTTGAAAATGCTGACACTGCTCACATAAGCTTCGTCTATCCAGATACTATTTAACGAAAAATCACGCACTGGGTTACAACTTTCCAGGAACCACTGGCGAAAAACCATGCGGCGTTCAAAATTTCCTGGTCTAAGATGATGAACTCTTCTGGTCTTGTATGGCTTGAATTTGTATTTCTTCAAAATCCTCTTAATGTTAGTTCTTGGTAGATCGTTGATATTTCCAAATTTCCCGTTGACGTTTTGAGATTATTTTCAACAGTTCCTAAAACGACTATTTCTTCCAACTCGTCATCCCTATTTGATTCATATAATTTTGCTCTTTTCTTTTCAAACTGACCACCATCAATTAGATTGTGTCGCAATCTTGCAAAAATGTATCTAAAAGGTTGTCTTTTCTCTGGATACCTCTCGTGATACAAATTGCTTTCTGCTTCTGCATTTTCCCTGGTTTGTATAAAATAGACTATCGTTTCCCATTTTTCAAAATTCTCATATTTCTTTGCGAATGTGTTCGAAAATTGAACAAAAACCACTAATTGAATAGCGTCTTTACTAAATCAAAATTTGACAGCTACCAGTAAAGATTTGCATTCTGTTTTATCGCCGCATCGTCCAAAGCCTACTTGATCAAAGTATACGTTTCAAAGTCTACATGAAAACACCTAAAAGCTCTGTATTTCAAAGATGACTCTAGCAAAACATCAAGTGTGCTACATTTTTTGACAGTGAAATATGCAGGAATATGCAGGGTGTCTCTTTGAAAAAATAGTTTTCCATCAATAACTATGAATACCTCATTTGAAAAAATAAGTTTTTTATACCATTGAATTCTACGTAAAGAAATTCTACGAAAATGTTTTCATAGAAACAAAAAAATTCTGACAGGACAAACGTTAGAGCAACTTCTCGAAAATGCACATTTTTCGAAAAACACGCTGTAACTCAGATTTTCACCATCGAGTTTGTCATAAAATTTGACCCCCAGACTCAGTCATCAGTTTTCATCTATCTAGTTTGAAAATAGGGGTTTACCTTCAAAAGTATCCAATTTGGCCCACTCTGTACATTTTTGACGGATCCAATTCAAAAGACAAACTATGTTTCAATTTTTACATGAAGTAGTCACTTGGTTCCGTAATAAAAAAAATATACACTCAATTTCTGTCGGTGAACCAACACGACCTCAGATGGTTTGGGTTTTAAATGGCTTTAGTCGTTAACCAGCTTTCGTCCTTATACAATGAAGTTGTGCTAGCTAAGTATCAACGACGAGCTCTGCTAAACAAAAATATTCTGGTAGAAATTTGGTTTACTAAACAACGGTTGTTATGTATAATCGATTTGAGTATAACTCCATCATTTGACATCAGTCAGTGTTATTTCTACGTGTTATCAAAATATATTCTACCACTCCATCTTCAAATAAAAAAATGTGGGAATCTTCCAAAGAGAGAAAAAAAGCAATTAATAAAAAATGAACTCTTTTCAAAGATGTGTAGATCATGCACAGAAGCAACTTTCAGGCACAAACTGAAAAAAAGCCCTCTTGAAACAAATACTTTCATATAAACATTGAATTATTACACGAAAGAAAAAATATTTTCGATTCAACTACTTTTATATGATCATTAAATTGCCTGAAAATACTTTTCCCTATTCACTTTTCACTTTGAACATTCGTTATGGAATTAAATCAGATATCATTCACAGGATTGATACACAATACAGTATATGAAAAAGGTAGAATTTCATTTACATGGAAACTGTCATCCTCAATGGCGAAATTCCGATGTTTCGGAATAAGACACTCGTCTTATTGCCTCTTCAGCACCAATTTGGATGACATTACAGATGAAAAGAGGTAAAATTTTACTTACAATGAAGACTGTCATCCTCAATAGCGGACATCCGATGTTTCGGAATGAGACACTCGCCTTATTGCCTCCTCAGCACCAATCTGTTATGTTATCCAGATTGATCTACACATCTTTGTAAAGAGTTCATTTTTTAGCATTAATTGCTTTCTTCATTTCTCTGAAAGATTCTCACATTCATTTTTGTAATGAAATAGAGAAGTAGAAAGCCAAAATCTCAAAGTTAATCTCTCCTAAAAATATAACTATTCCAAAATGTCCTATACCATTACAGTGTTTTCCATATAAATAATAATGAGAAAATTTTCAAGAATATCTATTGGGAAAATAGTGTTTGTTTGCTTCAGGAAGCAGATTCCTCAACATTGGATTTAATTTCATACGAATGACGAAAAGCATGTATAAAAACGATTATACTTACAAACACTCGCAAATAAAATGCTATCAACTTCAAATTTAAGATGAGAAAAATCGAAATGTTAATGATACATGAAGTGCATAGTATAACATTTTTTAAGGAAACGAAAAATAATGGTGTCTATACACTTGAAGTTTCGGAAATAATATATTTTGCTTTAATATTAAAGCTTTAATATCAATATCTACTGTCTACTGTCCATATAGCAAAAATATAACTGTCTTCTTCTTCAAAAGTAACTGAAAGGGAAATTGTTAGTCACCTAATCGGGAGAGGTAGAGGAAAAATCAATACTGTCGAGTGCACTAGTAATACAAAGTTTTTTACCAAGTGTTAATATATGTCAAACAACTTGGGATCATTGTTTTGTTTTACTGTTATAAGTATGGCGCCCGTGTAGGATAGTTTATAGTAGTAGTATAGTACAGTACCGTGTTAGGAATCACACGTTAGTCCTTAGCTCGCACAAGTTTCTCAACTTCTGAGAGTTGTCGTTCGTATGGGGGTGACAGCTGATTAACGGAAAAACAGATTTCAAACAGATTTCAAATAGTAACTACATGACTATTATAAATCCTGCTGTGTGAATATTTTCATACCCCTTCTTCAGTCTCATATCAGACTAGTAGGCTGATAACATGCAGTTACGGTGGACTGATGTTTTGAAGTACAGGGGATATGAGATAGTCTTCGTATTTTTTCCAACTCAACCTATAATGTCTTAAGACTGTGATAATTATCCAAACGTTTCTGATAAAGAACTAGTATAAGATATTTGTGTTGATAACCCCCAAAAGTCTAAACTTGTGCGAGCTAAGGAGCGAGCCAAGTCTTACTTTCAAACGTGCGATTCCTAGAACGGATCCGGTCATCCACCGATCGACTGAATCAGTGGAATGAAACATTCACGCAAACCAGCCGGTTACCGTCCCTCCATATATTGTTGAGACTAACCATATCCATGAAACATCTCGACTGGCTCAGAACCTACACTTGACTTAAAGGGGCTTACATATACCCTTAGCAGCCCTACCAAAAGCAACATATGTGTACTAAATCGAAATTCTGAGTCCTCACTTTTATATTCCATACCACATAGTTTTCGTTAAAGTTAGAGTTGATAGAATCATAAACAGCTTCCACAATTCGTATTATTAGAACAATCTGGTCTGTATGAAATGGAAAAACTATATTCAAAGCGTCATTAGTTTCGATGATTTGACCAATTCACTTTTTTATCGGCGAAATTCGACTCATCTGAAACTGAAAACTCCACTGCATATGTGGTGAATACGAAATATAATATTTCAAGCAACACGAAATCATATGACAAACCAAGTTATTCCAATAAAGAAAAGTATCGAGGTATCAGTTCAGTCTAGATAAGGGGTTTTTCCTATTCTCATGAAAAAAGAATAATTATATCACGTAGGTGTTGGAAATCCCCTAGCTTTCAAAACCAGTGTTCGTGGAACTCATTGTAAAGCGATTCATCTGTTCTTGAGGTTATTAGCCGTCTTTTCTATTAGCATTATGATTATGTGCATGCGGCGGTATATTTAATTTGTGTGATATTTAGTGTAGCACGTGTCACAAGCTCAAAATGGCACATTAGGAGATATTTTAAAAAATTTGCGGGCATTTCAAAACATTTTTAAATA